TAAGTCTTTTTGGTTTGGTTTTGTTTTTTAGAGGGGAAGAAATTTTATGTGTACCCCATGAGTTTTATTAGTGATTTGCATTATTAACTTTTAAATTAATCTTTCTGTGTCAATAATTGTATAGGTCCAGTCCTCTTAACTCCCTTTCCTGTTTATCTAGAAACTGTATTAATTCTTCTGTCAGACTTTAAGCTAGGAGCTGGATGTTGATAGTTTCTATTTTTCAGTTACTCAGCTGCCTGAGGAGGTTGGGGAGATGGAAAAAAAAAAAGGGAGTGAGGTAATTTCTGTCTACATAGGGGCATTTTTCATTTAAATCTGTTGAATCTCTGCATTTTGTCCAGAGGGTCAGTTCCTTTTGCCATATCTCTGCTTTCTTGTGTTTAAAGAACATTGGCCATCTTGGTGCCAGGATCAGTTAAAGTGAAGACCTATGACTTGTGGACATACGTGAAATGTGGTCTTACATTTTATCTGTAAATATTTCAGCATGTGTCTCTAAATGATAAACTTTAAAGACATAACAACAAATATATTACATCTAAAAATTAACAAAACAATTTAATACAATCAAATATCCTGTTTTCAAATTTCCAATTGTCTCATACATGTCATAAATGTGTTTTTGTCTGTTTGCTTGAATCAGAATCCAAGTAATTTCCACACATAATGATTAATTGATATATAATTTAAGTCTCTTTTAATCTATAGGTTTTCTCTTTCATCTCTTTTTTCTGTGCAACTTTTTGTTTGGTTGAGAAGACAGGTCATTTGTCTTACACAGTTTCACAAAGTTTATAGTTGGTTTTGCTCATTGTGTAGTTTAGTATGTTCCTCTGACCTCTGTAATTCCTGTGACTTGGTAATGCTATAGGCACTCTTACTTTTCCATAATGACTGGTTTTCTCCCATTTTTTGTGTGTGATATTGACAGAAGTCAAACATTTTTATATGCTAACCAAAAGTTATTCATCCTTCCTCCATGCTAGTTAGAACCACTATTTTGCTCAGTTGTCAATTTGCCCAGTCTCAGGGTATAAGTCATGATTGGTTTGAGTCAATCACAGCAATACTGTTTTTCTTCACTATCAATTTGTTCTAGAGATGAGTATGTGATTCCATGTTGGCAAATGAAATATAACAAGTTCATTAGAAAAGGTTTTTCTCTCCCGTAAAATTTGGAAAAGTGTGAGAAGAAAGATCTTTTTTTTTTTCTTTTTCTCACTTCTTACTGCTGAGGGAGGATACAATGCCTGTGCTGTGATAGCTACATGATCTCAATCTGATTCTTATTCTGTATAAGTGATCTTTTTATCTCTGGAAACTTTTAGAAGTTCCACTTTGTCTTTGATGTTCTTCAATTTCATTATAATGTATCAGGGTTGGGTTTTTTGTTTTTTGTTTTTTCATTACATCTCTTGCTGGACACCTCATGAACCATCAAACTTTTGTTAAAAATTTTCTTTAAAATGTAATGAACCATAATTATCTACTTTTACAAGTTCTCAAGTATAATTTATTGGTATTAGCATAGTCCATATGGCATTGATCTCACAAAAATCAGATTTATCTTTTAGCCACTTTAGACAAAAAACCAATTAATTTCCACTAACAAAAAAGAAAAGAAAAACCCTATACTATTTTTCTTTTAAAACTTTAAATAATGAAATGTTCTATGCATATACAAGAGAAATAAAGGAGTATATATAACATATATATGTACCAGGTTTGTTCTTAAATGTAATTAACAAGTATTCCACTGAATTATTTTTTCTTTTTCTAAGACTTGAATTAACTGTACTATCTAGTATCTTTCCCTCAGGATGCAGAGAGTCTTAGGAAGAATTTGATGTGATTGGAGGTGGGGAGAGGTACCCTAAAATACTTAGGTAAGACCAATATAGTTTATACAGTTCATTTTAATGTTCTTTATGGTGAATATAGTATCCATGAAAAGAACTAAGAAAGAGGGACTCATAAAAACTTAATAAAAATGTCTTGGTCATCTAAGAAGTGTGAATTGAGAGGAAACTGTCAGGATGCCAACCTAAAGAAAAATCTTTGTCATCCTGTGTTACAGGATCTGAAATCTCATCTTTAGAATTGCTTTGTTGGATCATAAAATCTTTTAAATATTCAAGAAAATTCCATCGAACTGATGGTCCTCCACGAGGAATCATGTCTTATTTATTGCTAGCAGTTTCTGGCACGTAATAGGTAGTCAAGAAAATGTCTGCTGAATAAATATTAAATAACAAAATTGAAAAGAACATTGAGAAGAATAATACTTAAAGACCAAGTAACACTTGTATGATAGATTGCCACAAGTAATTAAGCCATAATATCTTTGACCAAGATGTGTAACCACTTTATGTTGTATCACCCAGACTCTTCCTATCTTTTTTTTTTTTTTTTTCCCAATTCTGGTTGCACTTGATTATATTGTTGAGGGTAGAGAACCTGGGCTTGAGTTCATAGATCAGCAAAAAGAAGAGAGGCATTTTTAAGAGACTCTTATTATCCAAATTAATATCATTTAATCTTTTGTTATCACAGTGCTTATGAGGTGCCAACTTATCTATGTCTTAAAAATATGTTTACATTGTTGTAAGAACAAACACAAGTTTGCTGGTATGATTTACGGGTGAGAATCCTTAGAGAGAGATGTATTTCCATTTATATATTATTTTTAGGAGAAAATTTCACTGTCTTAAAATGAGCTGCTTTATGATACAGTGTCCATGAATTGTATGTATATATTTTTTTATCCTTCCACCTCAGTCTCCTGAATCGCTGGGATTTTAGGCACAAGCCACTGCACCTGGCATCAATTGTGTATTGAAAAGCAGAAAGAGGTTTGTAATCAAGATGGAAACTTAATTACTATCACCACCATCGTCACTTTTATCATTTCCATTACACTCTTGGTGCAATGGCGTTGAGTACTCTCTCCAATCTATCAAACAATATATAACATTTTAGTTATACATTGCACAGCTCTGAGAAACTCAGAGGTTAAATGCTATCAGCTAGTAAACAGTAGTAAGGTCTTCGGAGGGATCAACTATTTAAAGCATTAATCTAAATGCCCTATCCCCACTAACTATCCTTCTCAAGTAAAAAAGTATTCCAGAATCCTTTCCTAAGCTATGATTTAGCCCTCTCCTTTTGTTTTTCTCCCTTTTAATCATCTTCCCTTCCTTCTTGATTCACTCTCCTCTCTCCTCTCCTCCCTCACCGTTTTTTTTTTTTTTCCTTGCTAACCAATATGTTCAAAACTGAAAGGAGATCAAGAGGTAACTTTCAGGTTTTGAACATAGAGGTTAGCCAGAAAAAAAGGTCATATGAATGGTGGAAGAGGTGAGATGAATGGTGGAGGAGAAAGGGGAAGAGATAAGGTAAGTCTGACTAACAATTTTAACTTTCTCCAATTCTTCTATAACATAAATGCAGGTTTGCAAGATTTTGTAGGTGAATGTATACGTAGAGGTAAAATAAAGTTATAATGTGAATACTGTTGGGGGGATGCAATATCCTAATCTGAAAAACAAAAACTACATGAAAACACAGAACAACTCTGCCCATTTTTCCAAACTAACATCGTTTTTTGTCATTGAAAGAAAAATCTTGTTCTCTCTTTCTGCTGTGATGTGTGTGCATGTCTGGCTTGCACGGAAATGAGGACCTGAAGAGAGATGGGGGATGTACGATGCGGGCATAAAATCCACTTTGTAAACATGTTCATCATTCTATAATGGCATCCCCTTTGGTATTTACAGAAGATTTCTCCTTGTGTGTTTTACACAAGCGCGAGTATGACTAATGTGAATTTCCGCTCATTCGCCTTTTCTAGGTGGAATTGTGTACCCCAATAAACACAATAATAAAGAAGGCTTCCTAAAGACAAAGTGAGGATTTCTCAGTGTGCTTTTTATTAAAGGATGGAGAAAATCTTGCATTTGGCTACAGGTTGACATTTTCAAAAGCCTACTCTGAGACAATTATGTATCATACACATTTTTAAAGTTTTTAGAAAATTGTCAATGCCGTACATGCTACTTAAGAAAACATGGAATAAAAAAAAAAAAAGAGTGAAAAATCCGATCGTAGTTTCACTTTTAATTTATTGGTATATCCTTCTGCACCAAGGTATTTTGTTGTTGCTTGAATGTTTGCCACTACTTATTCCCTCCCACATTTTAAAAGGAAGATAATTTATGTAGAATTATGTAGAAAGTGAGGTATCAATTAATAGGTTGGATTTATAAAGAGCGGAAGAGGGGCCATACTGGCCTTTGGGGTAAAGCCAACCATATTAACTGTCCAGCCCTGTTGTGAGGTAGAGGAAGTATTCGTTTGAGGGGGATGCGAGCCTCTCTCATTGTAAAGACAGTTTTTGATCAAATATTCAATATGTACATGTTTGGAGTTAAGTACGTCTTCCAGAGCTACTGGCGACAGCTTCTTTCGTTGACATGGGCTACAATGGTTGCTAAAACCTGTGTGCCAGAAGCAAGGGGTGGGGAGACGCCATTTGCTAAACCGGAACTGGTTAAAATCTCAGGGTGGAGACCATTCCCAGTCAGCAAAGGCTTGCGAAGTGCATACAGTTCCTGCTCCTGGTGTCTACTCTGAAGAGCACAAAGTGGACGTTTGTCTGCCATTTCACTGGCAGTAGGATCAGTAGCTGCTGGTGAGCAAAGAGGTAGTAGTAAGTCACTGAACTGGTGGGCGCCGGGGCAGCGCCCTACGTGGAAAGGTCAGCGGCGAACCCAGCTCCATGGCCTAGTCTCGTCAGACCGAGCGCGGACCCTGCCGGCTTCCGTTCTCTTCCGCTTGTCTCAGGTGCAGCACAGATCCCTCCGCCGTAGCGTGCGCTCCCGGTAGCGCTGCGATCAGCTTTTCGGCAATACCCGGATGGAAGTGTAATGGCCGCCATCAGGGACTCGCAGGCAATGGGGACTACGACAGGTACTCCCCGTGAGCGGGACCGCCCAGACCTTTTAGGATGCCGGAACTTCTAGAGGGCCGGCCAGCAGGCAAACGGCGAGTTTGTGGACCGTCAGGGTCCCCCAAACAGGGCTAGGGATCCGCCTCTTGTGAGAGGAAGCGCAAGTTAAATAGTCCCGGCCATTCAGCGCTTCCGCCTAACTTGCCGCAAAGTTTTTCTGGAGAAGTCGGGGTTTTTTTTCCGAGCGCTTTTGCAGGCTGCTGGAGCTAACCCTTACTTTCTAAACCTGGGGTGGTTTTACGTCCGGGCTTTTTGAACTCTACACTCTCCTACATTCTAGGAGCTGGGTGGGAGTAGGGCACGGTGTGCCTCCGCGCTCCCCGCGGGGCAGCCGAACCCCGGAGGAAGGGGCGGATCGGGCGCGGTGTTTGGGACGAAGCTGGGCGCGCGGCGCTCGAAGCACTCACTCGGCGGGTTTCGTGGTTGGTGGAGACAGCAAGGGCACCCCGCAGACCGCACCCGTCGAGCTATAGGTTCGCAGGCCCGACTCGACGGCTTCCCTATTGCTGGCCCAGCCTATGGTCATTGGGGGCCATTTCTTGCAGAGATGCCCAGCTCCCTGAAGCGCTCGCTCTTCTCCAGAGTTGACCAAAGGTGCTCTTCCCCGCAGACCCTAACCACACCCAGTGGCAGATGGATTTCTTTGTAACTGGCTTTCTCACATGTAGGGTTCATTTTGACTCTATTCTTTACATGGTGTCCTCTTTGTCAAGTAGACAGTCTCTTCCTAGGTGGCTGTGGTAATTGAAAAGTATATGGAGTGAATGTATATAAGGAAAAATGTTTTAACTCTTAAGCGGACCGATCAAACAGATGTAGCTTTAAAGTTTAGAATACAACAGTTAAGACTTAGTTTTCTTTTTAGGTTTAAATTTGATAGCAAGTAGTGTATGTGAGCTGTTTGAGTGCAAACATTGTTGAGTATGTTGTCAAACGTCTAAAAAACCCTAGAAAAATAAAATAAGTCAATGTTCAAGGAATTCATAAGAATGTTGGAATTTGTACAGTTGTCACAGTGATAAAACATGAAGACACCAAACTGTCAGGATAGGAATTCTATTAACTTGAAAATGTGCATGTTAGATCTAGTTACTGGTAATTATTGAATTGCTTTTTCTGCAGCAAGGGGTCTGATTTGAGTATACTCTTCTAAGGTTGGTATCCTCAGATGTAATTTAAAACATTTAAATTGATTCAGTGAAATTTCCTAACATTTTCAGAGTTTAACTGCAAATTTATAGAAATGCATTCACTACCTTTCAGCAAAATTCTCTTTTCTGAAATTTATAAAGAGACATTGCATTCTTTTAACACTTTGAGGGTGTTGGGATTTCCTGGGGAAGGTAAGCATAGTAAACAATGTTGATTTTTGCTATAAAAACTATAAATTAGATCATCCCTAGATACAGAAAATTGCCAACAAAAGGGGGAGGAGAATAAAATGTAGGTATGTTACACAACCAAATGTTTCCTGTTTGTTGCAGTGAAAATAAGTATAATGACCACTTAAAACGTTTTATATCTGGTTTTATGGAAGGACAAAAGACAGTAACCACAATGAACACCCACTATGTGCATTGATAATGTATGAACTTTTAAATGCTTCAGTTTTTTGCCATGGTCACACTTCGGATTCTGTTCTAGTCTCTCTGGTAATAGTATGCTGTAATCCCAGAAGTTTCTATATTTTGAAACATTACAGAGGGACTGTACTTTAGCCTAAATCTATAATTTGACTTCGAGATATACTTTAAATGTCCTTTAAGTTTATTTTTATTGTTTGCTTTTCTGTATATAGTTGTTTAGAATTGTTTTCATTGAGACGTTCTGACATTGCATACTTTAGAGCACCTAATACAACTTTTTTTTTTTTTTTTTTTAATGATAGGAGACTTTAATCTTGCCGACATTCCTTCAGGTATGCTACTGAAGGTTTTGTGGCAAAGTGCCATAAGCAGAAGAAAAGGGTTTTAACACAGTCTTGAAATTTTTGTTTATTATCTGGTCCCAGGTGTGTAGGCTGTGAGTATTTCAATTCTATATGGGGTATTGGTGTCTCATGGTGAGCAGTTTTCATGGCATATTAGATTCCAGAAATAAGTATTAAGGGTTACTATTGTGGTTGTAGGATAACTGAGTTGGAATCAGATCCAGATATTAGTTCTAGTTTTGTGACTTTGGGTAAGGCTCTATTTCTTTTTCTTCTAATAAATGAAGATACTGAGTCAGATTGATTCTAGGCTTTAGATTGTGACTTTTGCAAATTTATGACATGTTATCACTGGGCATCAATGATATATGCTTAAGGGTAGAGAGGTTTTCTTAGTTTTGTGTGTGTGTGTGGTTTTTTTTAGGTTTCTATATACACCTTAAGTTGAATGTGACGTGTAATTGAACAGTTTTTGTAGTCAAAAGTTTTAAAATCTTGGTCTTCATTTCCAGATATCATCTCTTCTTTTGATCACTGTTCCTGATTGTGACATTGTGCAAGTGTTAAATTGTGTGCCTTTTGTTCCTGAAGAAAGAGGTATGGTAAAGATTGAAATACTGGAGTATATAGTCTATTAAGTAGTAAGTTAGTATGTTTTAATATTGGACTAAATAAAATAAAATACAGGTTAAGTATCCCAAACCCAAAAATCCAAAATGCAAAATTATTTGAGTACTGACATGATGGTCAAAGGAAATGCTCTTTGGAACATTTTGGATTTTGAACTTTTGGATTTGAGGTGCTCAACTGGTATAACGCAAATATTCTAAAATCCTAAAAAAGAAAAAGAAAAAAAGAATGAAACCCTTCTGTTCCCAAGCATTTCGGATAATAGACCCTCAACCTGTAGTTTACATATACATGAGTTTTCATAAGTTATGTAAGTTACAGTTGTATTTTATTTTTTGGCCAAAATAAAATACTTAAACATGGGTTTTCATTTTAATCTAAGCAAAAAAAGTAATTTTTGGTTTCATAGTTTATTGCTTAACGTTTTGTTAGAGATCCAAATACAACTTTAACTGTATCATCCCTCTAAATAGAAAGGTGGCATTAAGGACTTCTGGGTAATGAACGGTGGAGATAAAGGTAGCAGATAGATGTTTCAAAGCTGTATGAATGGCCAGAAGAGTGTGGTTGTGGTCTAGTAAGTGCAAAGCAATGTACCTAAAGAAAAGTTACCTCATATGTGTTTATATTATGACTAATAGCATCTTCATTATGAATCAGGAACGGGACTTGGGAATCACTATCGTGTTATGATTAGTTTCTTGAAGACAATCGTGAATGTCTGGGTGTAGACAAAAAAGGAGGAAAAATATGCCAACAAATCTATGGTATTATAAGGAAAGCTTTGGAAATGTAGTGGAAAATATTGTGCCCATGTAAAAAAACATGTTTTTTCTACCCTCGAAACACAGATGTCTCTTACTGTTTGTGTTGGATAGGTCCTGGGATCTTTGAAATCCTAAGATTCTTGGATACCACAGTATCATAAAATTCCTCTAAATGCAGTAAGTATACACACAAGTATAACCATAAATTAGGAATAAGATTATTTATGTAACTGCTGAAATAGCTGTCGTATAGTATACCACCTTACATTATTGGTTTAATTATCATAACTGTGTTCTTCTCTGAACTTCACCAGCAAATGGATTTCTGCTCAGGGCCATTTTTTTACAAAGGCATGAATTTTGATTTTGTCAGAAAATAATGTACATTGAGTAGAGAGCAGTAGAGCTGAGTTGAGGATACCACGTTATCATTCATGTCATTAAGTAACTTTTTCCTATATAACATTTGTTTGACTTCCTACCATGAGGTTCACATGGGTCCTATGTTATTCCTGAAGAGATAAAGTAATTCTGAATGCTAAGAATTTTCCTAAAGGTTGAGCATCCCAAATCTGAAAACCTGAAATCCAAAATACTCCAAAATCTGAAACTTTTGTAGTGCTGACATGAAGCTCAAAGGAAATCATCATTGGAACATTTTGGATTTTGGATATTCAGCCAGTAAGTAGTGCGAATATTCCAAAATCCTCAAAAATCTAAAATCTGAAACACATCTAGTTCCAAGCTTTTTTGTTTTGTTTTGTTTTGTTTTGTTTTTTTGAGATGGAGTCTCACTCTGCCACCCAGGCTGGAGTGCAGTGGCGTGATTTTCTCGGCTGACGGCAACCTCTGCCTCCCGGGTGCAAGCATTTCTTCTGCCTCAGCCTCCCGAGTAGCTGGGACTACAGGAGCATACCACTATGCCTGGCTAATTTTTTTTTTTTTTTTTTTTTTTTTTTTTGTATTTTTAGTAGAGACGAGGCTTCGCCATGTTGGACAGGCTGGTCTCAAACTCCTGACCTCGAGTGATCTGTCTGCCTCGGCCTCCCAAAGCGCTGGGATTACGGGGTGATCCACTGGATTACAGGCATGAGCCACTGCTCCCGGCCTACTTCCAAGCATTTTGGTTAAGGAATATTCAGTTTGTACTATTTGAGCCAAACTACCCAGAAAAAGTAATGTAATGAAGAATGAAAGCTTTAGTTGTAGTGAAGTAAATAAGAGACTGCTATGTGATGACTGACCAAAATGATTTTTATTTATTTATCTTGAAAAGTTGTGAGCAAAGTCTGACTAAAAATTTAAAGCTGTGACTGGTATGGCTGCATGAAACAAGTGTCAGAATATTAGAATGAAGGTACATGATGTGAAGTTTCAGAAAATTAAGTGGACTTCACATAGGTCTCATTTCATGAGGAAAGTCAAATAATTTCAAAATGTAGTAAGCTTATCATCAACTCCTGATTAAAATTGGTTTGTTGAAGGCTGTGGCTGGTAGAAGACATATCATATATTGTTTTTGTCAACTCAGTATCTCTTCATTTAGGGAACCACTCCTCCCCTATTCTGAGTGGTTGGTGGGCTCTCCGTCAGTCTTACTGTCTTATAACCTGAGCTTGGTCATCCCTATTGCAACAGTGATTGCTGTTACTCATGCAGAACCAGTCAGAATCGTTTTTCAAAATTTATGGGCGAATGCTAGGACAAAGGTGTAGTACCTTTTCTCTGAAATTGTTAATCTGGGAAGGTACTGGTGACATTCTTTACCACGTGTATGAAAAGCACATCTGTGTAGTGGGAGAAAGTGATGCCATAGGAGATGGGAGATGGATGGTGGTAGTGCCACTTTCAATCTCAGGGAACATGGTAAGTGGTACCTACTTTTGATTTTGTGAGCTATCCTGGTGTCCTTCTCAGTCCTTGTGCCAGAATTCTATGCATAAATTGGCTTGAATTGGAGCAGAAAGTGTTCTGATGAATATATGGCCCTTATGAATTTAAAGTCTAAAGTTTCAGATTGATCATTCACATCCTTCTGTAGTTTGCCACTTTCCTATACCTTATAAAAGGTTCCCTTTATTTATTCATCATTTGTGCATGCATTCAATCCGCTTTCATTCAACCTACAAACCTTTTTTGAGTGTCCATTATGTACGAGTATGTGCAACTGCATGGATATGCAAGGATTATATGTACTAGACTGAGTGGATGGTGGATATATGACTTTTTTTTTTTATTTCTGGTACACAGATCAACACGCATGTGTTGAGAATAATGACTGTGGTGCTTGGCATCTAAGTAATAACGTGAGAATAAGAATTCCTTGTCTCGGAAGTGCTTCTAGTTAAAGAGTTCATATTAATATACAGCAAACACAACAGAAAAAACAGATAAATGAATGCACAAGTGTATTTTAAGTCAATTTTGATGGGAAGGAAGTGAGCAGGTTGAACCATCTAGGAAGATTTCGTGAAGAATATATAACTTTAAATGTATTTTTAGTTATGCATGTGGCTTTGATAGGCACAGAGAATAACTGAAGAAAGGATGGAGTTAAAAATGATTATAGGCTAATCCAGGTTGGAGTGGAAATTGGTTTCACTGTAACAGTATGTGTTCTTTGGAAATGAGGTAGTAGAAAATAAGGTGACTGTTTAAGGTAAATCTTTGTATGAGGCCTTTGGAAAACCAAGCAGAAATTTTGGCTTTCTACTAAGATGGAGATTTCTTTGAAAAAATGTGTATATTTCTTTTCATATAATTTCATTTTTGTATGCTGAAATATAAAGTATGATGGAATACTGTAAAATTATTCATTATTATTCATTATGGCGAAAACCTTTATTATAGTCATCTGTCTTGAAGATTTTTTAAAAACAGCAAATAACTTGAAATGCCGATTTATAAATATGTATGTATAACCTTTCTCAAAAAGGGAAAGGTAAGAAGAAATAAATATATATAACATTTCTTCTTACCTTTCCCTTTTTGAGAGATCTCTTAGTAATAGTCAAAACCATACCCTATTCCTTATCAATAAAGCCCGTTTGAAACGAATGTAGCAATAGATGTAAAAACATTTAAAGGCTGGGGAGGTGGCTCATGGCTGTAGTCCCAGCACATTGAGCAGCTGAGCTGGGAGGATCGCTTGAACCCAGGAGTTCGAGACCAGCCAGGGCAACATAGTGAGACACCCATCTCTATTTTTAAAAAAATGTTTTTAAAGATAAGGAACAAAATTAAAGTGATGATTGATTGCTCATAGAATGTTCATTTTGGGCTCCAGAAACTAGGAATGATGTAAAACTTATTGTTGGGTCATTGTCTCATTAAATGCTGTAGTTTCCTATGTCCTTGCCTACCTTCTTTCCTCATAGCCTCGCATCTGACTCTCAACTCAGAGAGTAACATTTGGATTAATCCAGTTGGATTATTCCAAGGTTGGCAAGCTTTTTCTGTAAATGGCCAGATAGTAAATATTTTAGGCTTTGTGGGCCATATGGTTTCTGGTGCAACTATTGTAACACAAAAGAAGCCATAGGCAATATGTAAATGAGTGAGTGTGGCTGTATTCCAATGAAACTTAATTTACAGAAACAGGCAGCAGGCCAGATTTGGCCCGCAGGCTGTCATTTCATTCCACAAACTCTCTCAGTCACATCTGCGCACCTGCTAGCATCTTTATTTATCCTCCCTTCTAGTTACTATAGATGGATCATGTTTGCTCCTTTCTAAGTTCACCTCTTCAACTCGTTCACTAGATTCTGTCCCTTCTAACCTGAAAGACTTTGCTGCTGCATTTCTTTCCTATCCTCCATCATCAATTTTTTTTATTTTTACTAGATTATTTTAATAAGCATGCAGTCATACTGTAATTTCTCCCACCTTTAAGACACAAGAAATAAAATTAAACAAAACAAAACAACTCCTTTATCGTAAAACTCCTTGAAAGAGTTGTCTGCACTACATCACTACTTCCTCTGTTCCCATTTTGCCTTACATCCAAGCTTGTCAGCCTTTCTCCTCTATAACTCCACTGAAACTCTTCTAATCCATGGTACCAGTGATCTTCACATTAAGTCTAGTTAGTCATCTTCTTACTTGACAGAGTTGTTCAATCCCTTATCCAGGAAACATTTTCTTCATTTTGCTTTGAGGTTACCACATTCTTGATTTACCTTAAGTTTTATTGGTCTTTTC